ATCTAGGGTCTGGTGGCAGCTACACACTAAATTCGAACCTTATTTCCAACCAAAGCTAAACAGCAAAAGAATTTGCTTCGAGCATCTCCGCCTCCAACACTACTTGCCACTTCCGGTTACTCTGTGAGATATCGTGTTGGGATATGTGCAGATATATTCTCAGGAAATTCAGGGAGACTACGTATGGGGGTGGGCACGCGTGATTCCTTCGGGCACCCCAGGAACACTGCAGGATGTTTGGCGGAAAATGCTTGGGATGAGCGCCAGGCATTATCATTCAGCAAGCCTCAGGCTATGACAGCCTCGAAGTTCCTATCCCTGAACACCTGAATGAACGGGCGAAGGCACTTGGGGTGTTCGGGAGATTATGGGTTAAGGTGTGGAGGCTGAGCTTGTCTTGCACCGTCGTCTTACCCGTGGAAGGAGGGCAGAAACTGCATCTAGGGTCCTTTTCTGTTCTGGTGAAAAACGCACATCCATCTCACGCTGATAAGCAGACAGGCCCATGTATATATTCCACCAGTCAACCGGTTGCAACGCAGAAGTTTGCAGCGCTGTAAGGCTTAATGATGCCAGCCCCTGCTCTAGACGAAGAAGGCTCTACGAGCAACCTGAATAACAACGTTGCTGCGCTTCTGCAGGTCATTGAAGCAACACGTTATATGTTGCAAGACATGGACTGTAGCGCATATCTGTCATCTGTGCTCTGCCTACGAAGCAAGAAGCATGCGAATCTGATGGCAGTCCTGACAACCCTTGGGAAGAGCCCAGCTTCCCATTGGACTTCATGGCTCTAGGGTTTCATGGGGGCTTCCCACGCGGGATGTGACAAGACCACCTGCAGATATCGCAAGCTTCTGCAGAGGCTAACACTAAGTGAAGCTAATGGTGCCTGGATGTCGGGGTGCCTTTGGCGGGCTCGGGATTGGGAACTGAGTGAATAGTAGGCTAGAGCATGGCTTAAGGATTTCGGGTCTTGGCTCAAGAAACGACTTCAGGGAGTCAGCCCGCCAACGGTATCCCAGCAGTCAGCAGTATGGTTGACGGCGCCTTATGCTATCACTAGCGAACTTGACCAGTGGCCGAAGCGAGAAGAAGGCCACTGCACCAGCAAAAGTTACCACATCCTGAGCCGGCGCAGGTGTAAACCCAGGCAGGGACTCATGGGTTATGGTTTACGATGGAACTTGCTGCGAATTTAACAAGCATGTGCTGGATTCATCTGGATTCAGGACTGCGGGCACCTTGCTATATCTAGGCGACGGAGCGCAGGAACTTACGCAACAATCAGTCCAGTGCACACCGCACACACGCACTGATGCTCTCTGACTTGCTCTGCTTTTCATTGTTCCTTTCCTCTTTCCTTTCTGTCCTCTCTCTTCTTCTTCACCACTTCTTCCTTGCCCGGGGCCTGACTTGCATCTGCCCCGTGCTCGAGCTCCCCAGCCGAACACTCAACTCCTGAAACATCCGAAAACACTCGAATAAAACTATCAAGACGCAACGCCCATGGCTCTTGAATCGAGCTGCACGAGGTGTGAATCCAACAATGTCCAACCTTAGCTGCGCTCAAGACTGGCACACGAGCCCTTTTTCGGAAAAGAAAAGGCTCGGAACAAACCGACCCGATCGCATCGAAATCTTCAAGATCAGAGCTCAAAAAGACTGGATGGAAAGCGCTGTTTTGCTGGGATTTTGCTGTGGCTGCGGGATAATATACACGTCTTTTCTTGTAGCTCCCTTTCAGGCTTACATGCGCTATATGGCTATAGAAATCCCACTGGACAGCTTTGAGAGTTCTCCATTCAGTACGCAACGTACACCTACTTCACACCTACTTTGGTAGCGCTGTGGCGCATGGACTACCTTCTGGCAGTGCGGCTGCAAGAAGTCGAAATATGATCCCTTGTCAATCTTCGGGGACCCTGTACACAAACCGCGCCACGTGTTCAGTCGTCCGGAGGTTGCTAGTACTTGCTACTTTTGGAGCCTGTCCAGAGAATCCAATGTTGCCCTGCGGAGTTCTCTCAGGGTTCGTTGGGAGAGCAAACCCTCCAGGTAGGCACTTTGGGAGGCAGGCGACCCCGGCAATGAGAATGGCTGAGTTACATAACAACAGCCCACACCGAGAGTGGGCAACTAGCCCCGCCCAATGGATTACACTTACTTCTGCAATAACCAAAAGAAACATGTTAAACTTGATTTCTCCTACTAAATAAGGAGAACTCAAGAAGTTTAAAGTCAACTATTGGCTCAGCAAGTACATCAAGCAACAGCATATCCATCACGGTGTCGCCGTGGCATGGCGACTGCTCTGCTCTCGCGTTACCTGCACGGCACAAGGGCTCTGCAAGAACCTTCGCATCACCTCAGACAAAACTAAAAACAGGTCACGCCAATGACACAGTGCATCGATGAAGCCCCCAGAGCCTTCGCAGTGAGAGTAAGCTGTAAAATTTGCTTCGTCCTGCAGACAGTTCCAGTTTTCTACCCTCCTAAGTCCGAAAACCTCAAGAGCAACACATGCATTGCCGAGGTCATGCAGAGAACACGGTTCCAGAACTATCAGAACTCTTGAGGAAGAACAAGCTTCGAGAGAGACCTCTCTACTCAGCTCTTTGTCAACAGGCTTCTTCATGCCACACCATCAAACACGCTTTCTTCAATGGTCCACGTTGCAAGTGGGGCAAGGATGTTTAGCTTAGGCTCTGCCGAGCAGACGGATGGACATACGTGACCGTACATGTCCTCAGGCATGTTGACTTCTGCATCCAGTGCGCCAGGTGAAGACCACCTCCCGCTTCAGTTCGTAAGAGTTTTGAGTTCAGGTTGCAGGATTGAATGAGGTCTTGGTTCCCGGTGCGTCAGCACTCTCACCAAGCGGAACCCCCCGTCTTGATCGGAGCAGAGGTTCCTTACATAGTCTCCCTGACAAGTCAGGCGGGATGATGCATATCACTAAGTCTGGCAGCCGAAGCCTGCACAGCTCAGGCGAACTGTTGCAAGCCTAGCTCACCCATTTGTTCATCAGGTTGTTTTCCTGTGCCTAAGGATTGTCCGCATTCGACGGAATAGATGTGGGTGTGGCGGCTGCGGGGCTAGATGTGACACTGAGTCCCCCGGCTCATCGGGCAAGACCGTTGTCCTTAGAGGGGCACGCGACTGGCAGAAAACTTCTCGAAGTGCTTTGGCCAGGAACGACAGACAGCTCTCGTTTATCTAAAGACAAGCAACTTGACAGCCGTGACGAGGGAGATTGCCAAGATGACACGTAGCTGACGCATCATGCCATGTAACGTCCGTCCAACGCACGGCTTTGGCGAATACTGCGGCGCCCTACAGAAAGCAAACACTCCCTTGGATACTCTGAGCGTAACATTACTTGATGGAGATATGTATGTATGTGTGTGTGTGCGAGGCTGGCTTGATACTGTTTGAAGAGACCCTGTCGTCATGCAAACCATGCTGGGCCTTTGCCCTTGAGCCGCCCATACCAGATTGGTCGGATTCTTGCCAAGGCAGCTGCCAAGTACGATAGCCACCTATGAAATCGCTCTAAGTCTCAGGGTTTGATGTGCACCCAGTGTGCAGCAGCAAGGCCACATCCGGGCGAGTTACGTCCGGAGAAAGCTTCCACAAAGTGAGACTTTTCAACGTGTCATCACCCTCTCTTGAGAACATGTGAACTTGCAGACCCTACAGGCGGAGCGAATGTCATGAGTGTCGCGCGAATGCGTGCTTGCTGTGGCTGTTCGGGCTGCGGGTGTCCGGGCCCGGCGGTTGAGCTTGCTCTCTCACACTCGCACATGCCGGGGCGCAATGTTAGAGACTGTTAGGATACCAATGCTGCTGGGCACTTGGGTGGTGCTTGTAACATTCGTGATGTCTGCCGCGGTGCTAGCAAGGCCTTACATTCCGAACATAAGGTGGGTTTGGAATCATGCCACAACTATGCCACAAAAACAACTGCCGACACTACCGCTAACTCACAAAGCTCAGCAGGTGACCTAGCCAGCCTCCTTAGACGCGCTGCAGGGCTTATAGTGGTTTCATATTGCGGGTGATTCCAACAAAGCAAGAACCCGGGCACGGCACGCTGCTGTGACGAGAGCTCGCATCAGCATCAGGCCATCGCCCAGAGAAAAGCATCAAGTTTCTGGAGGTATCCATGTATGCTGGCCTTGCACGGTTAATCTCTAGAATCTAGAAACCTCTCCAGTAATACTGACCCCCCACACGCTGACATCGAGCATGCAAAGCCTGTGGCTCATTGCCAGCCACAAACTGAAGCTGCAACATGTTTGGTTCCTCGGATTCTTTAGGCTTGTAAGATTGGCGTCAACGACTCAGGCCTCACTGTTTAGGAAGGTTTGGAGTTTCGGGTCCTTTGGCCTTCAGGCACGGCTTAGCCCAGGTCACTTAAAGCAAGGTATACGTCAACCCACCGCTTGCATTCCCATCCATTTCTGTTTTTCATCGCTGTGGTACTTAAGGTGTTGTGGCAATTCAAGGCTGAGGCTTACTTGGACGTGTTGGTCTTGAGGCTGGCACACGGCAAGCAAGGCGACTGCCCGAACATGCCGACCAGATTCGATGAGGCAAAAATGGCAGTCCCTAGACTCCAACCTGACATCCCAACATTTGCATCCCCATGGAGCTGCAGGTGGGGATACATACCCACTTGGTACCACAGGGCGAAAGGGCGGAGCGAAACCACGCTGGAAAGCGTCAGCTCTACATGGCTCTACACACTTATGCTTGTAGAGTAAGTTGTGGCCTTGGGGCTGTGGACAGGCTGACGCTCAGGACCGTAGTCACTTGAACTTAAGGCACACAACAAGGGTACCGCACTTGGGGTAGAGATGCCTTGGCCCTCATCAGTAGCCAGCATGGAGACCCTTTGATTTGTGTGCAGACCACTCCAAGAGCCACTCCGACCCCCAACCGCCCCAGAGCTGTGAGATGCCTTGAGAAAGGTCCATACTTTGGTGCCGGGGCTCCCGAGCTTTCTGGAGCTCCTCCTCCTTTGCAATCTGGGCAGCGTGTGCCTGGCAAGGTCGTTTCAGTTCAAAGGCTTTGGCTCTATGAAAAGGAACGCATCGCTCAAATGTGTTCATGGAAATGGCCGGGTAAGTTCCGTTGATGACGAACAACGAAATAGCACGGGTCATGGGTCATCGTTTCGTATGAACCCCAGAGCACAAGAAGCAAACATGAAATGTAAGTCCCCCTAAACAAGAGAAGACAAGAGAGGCAGAAGCGGAAGGCGCGCAACTTCTGAAAGCATGGGACTGCATCCTTGCAGCCTGCCTTCGGCCCTGAAGCATGCAGTGCCTTCAGCCAACAACCACCCCTATGCTGGACAGCTTCAGGGGAACCTACCATGAAGCTCACCAGGATTTATGATTGACGCTGCGCCGAACACACCTCGCGGTGTTCGCGCATCACATCACGCAGGCCGGCAAGCTCCTGCTGAAGATAGGCAAGCTTGCGACATGTCTACCGGCTCTATAGTGAAGAAGGTATGTTCAAGGTCCAGCCGCATTTATGTGTGACATGCAACTGAGCAGAAACATCCCAAAGCCTTGTGAGTGCTTCCTATGTTCGGCCTCTTTCAGTGAAGCATCCTCGATGTACCGCACTCTCTTTCGCCTCATTGTGGTGCGATTTGGAGGAATGCCTGCTAACCCACTAAATCCTAATAATCCTAAGCTTCACATTTCCAGATGACCTAAGGTTTGACTGGGGCAAGTCAAACCAGGTGGTCCATCCCAGTTGAGTACACAGAACTGCTGTGGTAACACCTGCGGTGTCGTGCTGACCTTTTATGAAATAGTTAAACTGATGAGCAGGCACTGTTGTGAAGGACCAACACGCGAGCACCAGACCCCGAAACTAGGGAGAGTTTGCAATCATCCGGACAAAGGCAGCCCAGAACAAGACTGAGGCAATGTCTGCACGATACGTCGACAAAGACTTGCCATCTGCAGCCTGAGCGCAAACTGCATGGCATCTACTACAGCCACAGCGCCGCAAAGACAAAAAACAAAGAAGCACAACATCACAACATCTAAAGCCTTTTTCGCTTAATGCCGAGGTCGGCCACTCGCAGGGGTGTGAAACTGACGAGGGTGACACCCATGGTACTCTAGATGCGTGCTTTTAAGGTTAGCGACCTCCAATGCCTGTCCGAAACTGTGCTGTCGTTTTGAAGACCTGGGGACATTCACTGAGTTGGTTTCAGGCTGGGCATGAAAGAAAGGCAACGGTGTGGAGCAATCGAGCTTCTCATTCCAGGGGCAAAAGGAAGCCAAGCCCCTACAGGACTGAGAGTTGCTGAGTCTCGATTACGATTCATTTCCTGGGGTGGCTAAACTTGTGTAGAGGTACTATGCCGGCACGCCTAGAGCAGGCTAGACAGAAAAGGCTGGAAGCACCGGTGGCATTGCCAAAGCTGCTTGTGAAAATGGCGACTGCGCGGTTGAACCGTCCTGTGTTAAAGCAGACCATCAGATCAGTTGCAGAGTAGGGGCCGCGCTGAGCGAATGATAAGCTGAAACTGAAGTCGTGCATACCATCCATCAATAGCAGTACCAGTAGCACCCGGGATGATTTTTGGAAACCCTGCCCGTCAAAAAGTGGTTGAGTGAGCAAGAAAACCTTCTCAAGAGCAATATATGATAAGCGATGTCTACACCACTGGCCCTGGACTTCATCCGCAGGCTCTGACACTGATGGCTTGCAAGATTGCCAGAGAAGGCATGGCGCCGCTGGCCAGGAATAGCAATTGCGCACGCAGCTTCTGTTGGGATTCAGTGTTCAGGAATGTACAGAAAACGAAAACAGCGGTCAAATGATGCGACCTTAGCGAGAAATGACCCAGACTTCGATTGTGACCCTTGAACCCCGAATCCCTCCTGTGCCACGGTGCTGAGCCCCCGCTACTTCGGCAGGAGACTCAAGCAGCCGAAAAGCAGCCTAACTCAGAGAATCAAAGATGCCACAGATAACAGGTCTGATCGCCGCACAACGGGGCCATTTTGGGCCTGAAAAAAGTGAGTTACATAGGCTGAATTCGGCTGAATCCTAAACACCAACATCCGGATCGCTTCCAGAAAATAGTGCTCCAAAGACTCCACGTGTAGCTATGGCCTAACGAAGTTGATCGTGTGTGCGTGACGACACTTGGATTTTCGCTGGCGGGATACCTGGCATTCGGGTTTCGAGGTTCTGCAAAGTTCTTCGATGCGGCAACTGAGAAGCTGCATGGCGCTATGACACCTGACTAACCATAATACACAGTAGTGCAACAACCTACATTGCTGGGCTGGCATCTGTGGCTGAAGCGTGCCACGAGCCATTGCTCAGACGGCTCATGAGGCCCAGCAGGCGCAATGCACTCACGGGATGTTTCGCCAGCAGTCCTCCCGCAGAAGGCTTACCCTCAATTTCAGAGAACGCCCTCCCTCAACATCACTTCTTGCTACATATCCAGCCGCATAGATAGACTGTGCCAGCTTCGCGTGTCTGAATCAAAACAAGCCAAGCAGTCTTTAAGGTTGGACTAACTTTCTATACTGAAAAGCGACTGTTTACAGTACGTTCACACGGCGTGCGGGCCGTCACGGAAACCAGGGAACAGGCGAATCGAATCCTTGCAGCCTAGGCAATTGAAGTCTGCAGCCCTTAATCCAGAATTCGGAGCACCCACCCATCAGAGCCTCAAATCCCCAACATCCAAGCTTGAACTCAAAGTCTTGAAAAACGATCTTAAACTATCTTAAATTTCTATGGTAAGACTAAATCTTACCACTTTCTTCTTTAGATTAGCTTTTCTATCTTAAACTGCTGTCCTAAAGCTCTACCTTCTCATTTAATCCTAATGTTATATCTGAACATTCAATCCCAACACTGGATCTTTCAAGTTTGTCTTGAAGCTCCATCCTAAGTTTCTTCCCGTAAGCTCTGTCTTGGGATTCTACCCTAGAATTCTCTATCTGGAGCCGCTATCTTAAAGTTCGATCTTCGATTTTTCTTAACTGCTATCATGCTGTTCTATCTTGAAGATCTAACAAAAATAGATCCTTAGATCCTATCTAAACTTTCTTTCTGCCCTGAGTTTCTCTCTGCACGTATCTGTCTTGAAAGTAGATCTTCAAACTCTATCCCAACAGCGTGTTTCAAAAAACCATCTAGCAAGTATGTCTGAACATTGCTCTTAAAGGTCTATGCCTCTCAACTCTTGTATTGCAACAAAGTCTTTATTCTGCAATGTTACCTCCAAAACCTATCTTAACCTTCTACCTGGAAGTTGAGTCTTGAAGCTTGATCTAAACGCTCTACCTGGAGGTTGATCTATCTTCAAACTGTAAAGTAAGAATACATAAATCGTCTCAATCATCTATCTTAAAACTGAAGCTTAGAGTTACATCTTAAAATGGTTTCCCTTTCTGAAAAATTTATCTGAAAGTCCTTATCTGGAAGCTCTGATTTAGATTGCATCCGTAAAGCAATACCATAACAGAAATCTTCAAGTTACATCCAAGACTCCATCTGAAGATGTTATTCTCAGCAATGTATCTCAACGTTATACTCTCAAGACGCCAGTTGAACTATCTGTCTTAAAAGCACCTCTTAAAAGGTACTGGTATATCTCAAGATGCACACTTGAAACTAAACGCACGTATGGGACATGTATCTGAGAGGTCAATCTGCAAATGTCATTTTCAAAATCCGTCGTTAAAAGCTAAGACCCTATCTTGACATGTAATCTTGAAGTCCTATACTTGAGACCTATTTTCAAGCTCTTTCTTAAGATTCTGAAGTCAGGCCCGGCCCCTGGTTTCAGTTGCTGCCGGACCCGTTTTCCGTCACATGCTGGTCCAGCTTCCGTTGCGCTTGCAGGCCACCAGTTTCCGTCACGGAGCTTATTCGCACGATGAACCTGCGTACTGCCTACCCTGATCAAGTACGTAGGACGTCCGACTTTCCAAAGCGTAGTCCTCTAGAAAAAGCCTCATGCCCTTTCCAAACCCAAAGCTTTCGACAGGCGTCCTGCTGCTGGCTGGAAATTTGCTTTCCGCTGGGCTCCGCTTTGGGAAACCACCTCGCGCTCTGGCTTGAGATCATGGTTCCGGCTGCTTTTTCAAGAATCGCTGTCCACAGGAACTATGGTGCGATTCCGCCGGGATCTGTGGGTTAAAGTCGTTGCTTCTTCTGCTGACGCTACAGCCCTAAATTTTCGCGCTAAGCCACACCGAGCTGCAAGGCTTAAGGCCGCGAATTTGTATTATGTGGACTGGACTCACAACTACCACAAGAAGAGCCCAACCCCTCAACTCCTGGCCTTGCAGCGGCTATTGGCCGACTCTATGGCCCCGCTTCCAGGTCCCCTCCTGAGTGGGCGAACGATGGAGTTCGGTTGGCGTATGGCGGCTTTAGTGTTGGTGTTCTAAGGTGGCTTTTTTGTGTGGGGCGTGGGGTCGTAGAGTGTAGGATTTGGGGCGGATGGCTCTGGGACTTGCGAGTGCAAAGGCGTGCTGTCACTGGTACGATTGAGCTCAACTTCACGAGTTTCGTCGTTTCGTGTAACCGGGTCTTCGGAGGGCTTATCAAATAACAAGTGGTCTAGAACATTTGGATGATGGCACAGCCGGGAATGATACATCAGCATATCCTGTACCATGTTCTGTATGTACGGAAACTCCAAGTCACTGGAGAGAACTGCGTTCTAATGTGCAATTTGAATTGTCCGAGTTCGTGCCAGAGACACAGAGACACAGAGACACGGAGACACATAGACACAGAGACACAGAGACACAGAGACGCAGAGACACAGAGACACAGACACACAGACACACAGACACACACACACACACACACACACAGACACACACACACACACACACACACATGCACACATGTACGTCGCTACGTGGTAGAGTAGAGCTGTTGCTTTTTTCATCTTTCCCGACAAAGACCACGCAGAGATTGGGCCAAGGGCTGAGAGTGGCGTTTGGACATGCCCTGCCAGCATAGTAGCCTAGCAGGCCTAGCGGAAATTGGCTCAGGGCTCAGGGCAGCCGAGATACCCGTCGAGTGCCATCTGCCTCCGTCATGGTTCCTTTGCCATTGATCTCGCCCTGAGCCCATTCGCCCTGGCAGTGGTCAGGGCTTCTGCATGTAGGCGCACTTGTTCCAGGTGCAATTGTGCCTCGTACTTTCGACCATCTGGCCACTGGAGAGTGCCTTCTCCATGCTTCTGGCTCTTGACGTAGTGGCCTCCATGCACCAGCAACTGCTGTTCATTGAGCCTATCATTACAGCTGCCGGTCTTCTAACCTTTCCAGAAAAATCGCTCCCAATTCCTAGCGAAGTTCGCAACACTTGGTCTGTCATATCTGAGTCTCTTCTCAGCTGCAAGCGACTTATGACTACAGCACCGAAAGCCCGAAGTTGATTGAACACTATGAAACTTAGCTCAAACACTTCGGGAATGGTATGGGGGAACGGTCTTCAGAAGAATAGAATTGGAACCGAATTACCGACCGGAACAGAAAAATTAACATTCTCTGTTGGCACCTTGGTAGATGCGGCCATCTGGGTATTTGAACACGCCGAAGCCTTCCATCTGCTGCTTGATCCACTGGCCTCCCACGCAGGTGCACTCAGTGGAGAGAAGAGAAGAGGGAGGCTCCGGATGGGTTCTTTGAGGCGTTAGGGGTGGGAAGGGGCGGGACCTCTCCGAGAAAAACGAACACAGGAAGCCCTTCTGGCATTTTTTGTGGCTCTGGGGCAACCTTTTGTTGTGCACTCGGGGCCTTCATAGACACAGCCATCTGGCCACGTGTAGGTGCCTTGACCATGTATGTCCTCGGCTCAGAGCTCGGAGGCAAGGAGGGCCGAGTCGCTTCGAGGTCAGAGTAAGGAACGCCCCCGAAGCCTTGCACAACCTCAAGCTGCCCTCAAGCTACCCTATGCCCTCCTGCAAG